ATTGGGCCACCGTAGTCTTGGCTCAATTTGACCATGCTGCAATGAAAGTCAATGGGATTTTTATGATTTTTAATATTAATTTTTAAGAAATCTGAAAGTCGAATCAGTCTGAAAAGATATAGCAACTCGAGTCAGAACAGTCTGAAGGTCTGACCCGAGTTTGGAGTTTGTAGAGTTAAAGCTCTAGGAGGAGTAGCAGTCAGAAAATTTTGGGTAAGAAAAATAAGAAGAAGAAGAATAATACTAGAACGTACATTTCCAGACGAAAATGTGAAGTGGTGCTTGCAGTGGCAAAACTCACCACCCGGTTGCTAGGGTGTTCTGGGTGGTTGCTAGTTGGTTGTCAGGGTATTCTGGGTGGTTGCTATGCAGTTGCTAGGGTATTATGGGTGGTTGCCAATGTGTTCTGGGTAGTTGCTAAGGTGTTGCTAGGTGGTTGCTAGGGTGTTCTGGGTGGTTGCTAGGGTGTTGCTAGGTTGTTAGTAGGCGTTGTTAGGGTGTCTGGATGGTTGCTAGGTGGTTGCTAGGGTGTTTCTAAGGTGTTCTGGAAGGTTGCTAGGCAGTTGCTAGGGTGTTGCTCGGTGGTTGCTAAGGTGTTGCTAGGTGGTTGCTAGGGTGTTGCTAGGCGGTTGCTAGGGTGTTCTGGGTGGTTGCTAGGGTGTTGCTAGGTGGTTGCTAGGGTATTGCAAGGTGGTTGCTAGGGTGTTCTGGGTGGTTGCTAGGGTGTTGCTAGGGTGTTGCTAAGGTGTTCTGGATGGTTGCTAGGCGGTTGCTAGGGTGTTGCTCGGTGGTTGCTATGGTGTTGCTAGGTGGTTGCTAGGGTGTTCTGGGTGGTTGCTAAGGTGTTGCTAGGTGGTTGCTATGGTGTTTGGGGTGGTTGCTAGGGTGTTGCTAGGTGGTTGCTAGGGTGTTGCTAAGGTGTTCTGGATAGTTTCTAGGTGGTTGCTAGGGTGTTGCTATGCGGTTGCTAGGGTGTTCTGGGTGGTTGCTATGGTGTTGTTAGGTTGTTGCTAGGTATTCTAGGTAGTTGCTATGGTATTACTAGGTGGTTGGTAGTGTTCACATATGGTTATTATAGAGTTTTTATATTGTTCATGGCATGATTTAGCACTTAGCTAATCAATATTAGCATGTAGCTATTCACAGCTAGCATGTTTAGCATTTTGAAAGTTCTATGTGCTAGCATGAGTCAAAAGACCCAACCCCCATCGTGATACAATGTTCTGATGCTGAGATATAGCTGTTACAAAATGGTTGCTAGGGTACTCTGTTTGGTTGCTAGGGAGTGGCTTGGCAGCTTCCAATCATGAAGCTCCAAAGTCAATGTGAATGTATAAACCAACCCCCATCTCTATACGATGTTCTGATAAAGAGATGTAGGCCTTGCAAAATGGTTGCTAGGGTACTCTTTTTGGTTGCTAGGGAGTGGCTTGGCAGCTGCCAATCATGAATCTCCAAAGGCTGCTTGTCAGTATAATTGATATAATACAACTCCCAAGCCTGTATGACATTCAGAATGGAAGGTATCCCTCTTTAAAATTTGGTTGCTAAGGTGCTCGATAATGGTTGCTAGGGTGTGGCCAGAAATTGTTGAGGTGATTCATGATTGGCTGTTTGCTACCCCGAGTCAAACGAGACCACCCTTGTGTTTCTATGACACTTCTATCCGGAGATATCCCTTTGATCTCTTTCAATGGAAGTCTATGGGAGTTGTTGCTAAGGTGCTCTATATGGTTGCTAGGGCGTGGCTTGATAGCTTCACAATGATCCTGAGAGACTGATTGAGTAAAATGAGCCCGCCCCCTTGTCTCTATGACACTGTGATCCACAGCTATGTTCAATACAAAATCCCTATGCAATTTACCATAGTAGGAAAAACACATGCATTTGATGGGACATCCTTCACCATAGTAAGTCAATGGGGAAAATTTTGGATAGCTCCTGCCCCCCAGGGGTGCAACTTTTACCCCATTGTGTGGTATGTTCTTACAGAGGCTGCCAGCCTCTTCAAATGTGGCAAATCACACGTTTTTCCGAAATCGTTGTTCGGAGCTATGAGTCGTCAAAGTTTGTCTCAATGTTAAGTCTATGGGATTTTTTGGAAATTTGTTCGCCTCTGGGTCGAACACCGTACCCCCGATCTCTGATAAAAGTGATAGGACACTTCTCTTCAATAGGCCGCACGATTTGATGCCTCATTCATGGGTCTGTGACAAAAACTGTGGACGTAGGAGTGCGCCAAACTTTTTCCTGGAATAGTATAATGCTATACTAGAAATTTTAAATAACATTGGGGTCAATGGGGGAAAATTTGGGCAGCTCCTGCTCCCCAGGGGTGCAACTTTTACCCCATTGTGAGGTATGTTCTTACAGAGCCTGTCAGCCTCTTCAAATGTGGTAAATCGCAGGCTTCTGCGAAATCCTCGCTCGGAGCTACGAGTCGTCAAAGTTTGTCGCAATGTTAAGTCTATGGGATTTTTGAAGGGCGAACATCGTACCCCCGATCACTTAGAAAAGTCATAGCACACCATTCCCGAATAATCCGCACGTTTTGAGACCTCATTCATGGGTGTGTGACAAAAACTGCGGGAGGAGTAGCGTGCCAAACTTTTGGGCCGACTCAAAAAACACAATAGTAATAGTGTTGCCTTGCTTTCAGCAAGCACCACTAATTAAGTTTAAATAGGATTTCAGTAAGTTGGCTTTCTCAAGCCAACTTAATAATTGTGACTTTTTAATCACACAATGGGCTCTATGCACAGTTCCACTACTTCCTGAACTTCAGCCAGCTCCTTGTTTCCTGTCTGTCATTACTGGACGCATTGATTAATTCAGGTGTGTCTGATTATTGTTGCCGTGACTACTGAGGTCAAGCACACCTGAATTAATCAAATTGTCCAATACAGGAAACAAGGAGCTGGCTTAAGTTCGGAAAGTAGTGCAACTGTGCATAGAGCTCATTGCGTGTTATAAAGTCAGAATTGGGTGATATGAAGTCGCAACTCTGAGAAAAAAAGACATAAGTGTGACTTTTTATCTTGCAATTCTGACTTTATATGACTAACACGTAAGTGCGAGTTTATATGTCGAAATTCTGATATCTTTTCTCAGAATCGTGAGATATAAACTCGCAATTGTGAGTTATCAAGCTAATTCTAAGGGGGGGGGGAAAGACTAACTTTTTCCCCCCTCAGAATAGTTTAAATCTCACAATTCTGACTTTATATCTCGCAATTCTGAGAAATAAAGTCAGAATTGCGAGATGTAAACTCGCAATTGTGAGGAAAAAAGTCTGAATTGTGAGATAAAAAGTTGCAATTACCTTTTTTATTTTTCATTCAATGGTGGAAACAAGCTTCCATAATGTCTTGCATATCATATTCTACAGACTCAAGAAAACATTTTTAGTTTGGTATAAATCCTTACAAAAATAATAATTTTAATATTATACAACAGCATCCCAAAAATAATAACTTGGCAACATAAAAATAAATGATCAATTTAAAGCCATCAAAAACTACAGTCTTGTATGGGACAACTCAAATGGCTCTATTTTTCTTTTGAAAGTAATTGCAACTGTGACAATTAGTGGTCTACTCCAGGCTACTACCTTACATTTATATTTCTATTTGTTTAATTATCTCTATAGGTCTGTGACACAATCCTGGGACACACTAGGGACCGTTTCTCTTTCACAGACCACCTTGTCTGTGCCACTTTGTTGCAGGGGGACAGATTTAATGAGTACAGGGATGCCTTTCCTGAAGAAGCATTGAGCATCACCATGAAAGCGTATCCGATGCTCAGTGGTAGCAAGTTGAAGACAGAGCTCAGTCTAATCTACAGCAAAGACGAGTTCAGTGCCTGCCGTGGTGCTGTGGACCTATTCCAGCTATTTATGGAGAATAATCTCGAAGAAGTCTTTTCCGAAACAGTGACTCTCCTAAAAGTTATCATTACCACACCCATGACCACGGCTGAAGCTGAGAGGTGCTTCTCAACCTTGAAAAGAATAAAAACTTTTCTCAGAAACACCATGACCCAGGAGAGGCTGAATGCACTGGCATTGCTGTCCATGGAAAAGCGACTTGTTACAGAGATGACTGACTTTAATCAGAGAGTAATTGAGAAATTTGCTGGCCAGAAAGAAAGAAGAGCAAAATTTATGTTCAAGTAGGAAACATGCTTTTTGGTGCTTCTTTACTAGTACGAAATGTGTATATAAAAGAGAGCAAAATTTATGTTCAAGTAGGAAACATGCTTTCTGGTACTTCTTTAATGGTGTGAAATGTATATAAAAGAGAGCAACATTTATATTCAAGTAGGAAACATGCTTTCTGGTACTTCTTTATTAGTATAAAATGTATATAAAAGAGAGCAACATTTATGTTCAAGTCGGAAACATGCTTTTTGGTACTTCTTTATTGGTATTAAATGTAAATAAAGATAATAAATTTAAGTAGTAGTCAACATGGTTTTTGGTACTGCTTTGTATTTATTTGCCCTCCTCAATAAAAAAATACAAATAAAAAATGCGCCCCCCCAAAAATAAATATCACCAGCCGCCACTGATCGGGACATCCCTAGTCACAGCGTGCATATCTTGAAGTATTGAAGGGGAATTTTGTTACCATATTCCCGAAGACAATAAAGCCTGTCAACTTCCACTTAATGTTCCACTTCCATTCCTTTAGCACCACCATAAAGCACAATTTTGTATTGTACACAACACTGTAAAAAAATTGCTGTAGATTCTACAGCAAAATTCTACAGAAATGTATTGTTTTATCATTTTACAAGTTATTACTGTAATTCGCAATGCATTATGGGTCAAAATGAGTATTACAGTTGTTTACTGTATATTTCCCTGTCAACTGTAAATTGATTTACAGGTAAGAGGTGTTTTCACTGTAGTTCATATGTTTTACAACAATTTACTGTGACGTGGCATTATGGGATTGCGCGGGCTGAATACATTTGAAATCTGGTGGACTGGAGCAGGGCAGGATCGAGTTGAAGACAAAAGGCACTATTTACTCAATTTTTGGTAAGTTAACTTAAATTTACGTCCATAAATATTTACAATCCAATGTATTACTTAATCAGCGATTCATATTTTGAACAGAATTCATAACATCGGCATGTCATTATATCATGCAATTATTGATCGACTTGTTGACAACTGCGTGTTATCAGGACATTTAGTGTGATGTAAAAGTGTTTGATTCCTATATTTTCCGTCGAAACGTTACGTTTATTTAGTAAAGCAATGTGTCTTTAATTTTAAATTTCTTGTTTCAGGCGAGGCAATCGCGACGGCGCGCGCTCAGTGGTGAGGCGATCTGAACTTACAAGCACAAGGTAAAACTATCTTAAATGTTATGGACGAATGCTGCCGTTTGTTACAGTTTTATTTGAATTTGCTCTCAAGAGAGTATTTTAGAGCATTGCAGTTTGCAAGACGACAGATCGGATCCACTTAAGTCTTGGTGAGAGTTAGCTTTCTTGACGAAAACATTGGAATAGGCTATATTAACGTCGTTGGATGCTGCTATTTTCTCATTTATTTTACCAGTTTTGATTTCGTTTGATTTCGATTTTCGTATGAGAGCATGTAAAACCAGTGTTTAATAAAGGCCTGCATCATAACTATTTAACGCAAATCAATTTGCAGCGCTCAATGATAGTAACAGGCCTATTTCGAGCATTTGCAGTTTGGAAAACAAGGCATAGCCTACTGAAGAGTGCTGTTGAGACAGAACGTAAATACGCACGTGCAGTTAGCTTTGCTGATGAAAAACATTAGAATATGATTTTAACATCGTTGCATGATGCTAGCGCTATTTTATCATTTATTTCACTAGTTTGGATTCATTATTGAGAGCAAGTAAACCCAGTGTTTAACAAATCCCTGCGTCATAACTAAATTCAAAATGACTGGCAAACGATTTGAAAGTTAATTTGATTTTCTGTTCAAAGTTTATCGTTTTCTTAATATAACTTGAACCTAAATCTAAATGAGAAATGTATCACTGTAAATTGTCAATATGATAGCAATATCATTGTAGGTCACATTAATGTTCTAAACTGCTGTTTTACCTGTGGTGTAACGTTACCTGACTTTTCACGTGCATTTAAAAATGTGCAGCTTTTAAGTTTCATTTATAGAGACCATACAGGTTATCAGAAGTCTTGTAAAGGTGCTAGATTTGACCAGACACAACACTGATTTGCAAGATTGGATACCGTCATTTCACACGCATGTACAACTCTGAATTACTTAATTAGGCATTTTAAAATGCCATATTGATGAGGGCTGGGAAATCTGTCTACTGCATTTACTGCATATACTGCACTTAATTACATTACATTTTTTTTTCCTTTTATTATTTTTTTTTAGTGTAGATGTCAGCAACAGCAGCTGAAGTGGAAAAAAGTTCTACACTTCCAGACTCTCTGAGACTGATTTGTCTTAGGTAATGTACGTTCCAGAATCTTTAAATTACTTAATACATTTTGCCTGTTGTATTTTAGCATACATTTTTATAAACTGTTTTCTTTTTTCTCTTCATTTGTTTTATTTTTAGGTGAAATTCTCACTGCAACCCAGTGGATGCTGAGTATTGAGGGTCAAGTGGTTCTGAATCAACACCCCGATTTCATGGCTGAATTTGCTGCTTTGTTTGCAACTTACTAGAACTTTAATCTGGTGTACCAGCAGCACGAGGCATCCTGCACACTTGAATTTGTCCAAAGGTAACAGATTACTGAAATATAAATGTTAAAGGATTAGTTCATCTAAAAATTAATGTTAGTTCACCTGTCATTAATTAACTACTGGCCTTCGTTCATTTTCGGAACACAAATTAAGATATTTTTGATGAAATCTTACAGGGTTTCTGAACCACACATAGGCCACAAAATCATTAAGACAATGAAGCAGTTAAGACAATGTTAAAATATACCATGTGACTACACTGGATCAACCACAAAATCTCTTCTCTTCTGTGCTGAGATTGTCGCTTCCAGGTTCTACGTTAGAACAAAAAGTATTCTCATCACTTCGTAACATTGAGGTTGATCCACTGAAGTTACACGGACCACTTCAATGAGGTTTTCACTACCTTTCTGGGCCCCGGACGTCGTAATGACGTTGTGGTCTATGTGCGGTTCGGAAAATGAATGAAGGTCAGTAGTGACAGATTAACGAGTAATTAATTACAGAAATGTCATTTTGTGCTCAACAAATCCTTTTTAGTAGTGCAAATAATGCTTATGGTAAAGTGGTATATTTTCATAAGTCTGCACATGATCCTAAAGCTTCTGCTTGTATTTTTCTGACTGATTTTCGAGCAGATGTTTACCAAGAACATCAATGAAAGTGGAAAGACCTCAGAGAAGAGGAACAACACAGTCAATCCTCACGTGTCTACTCTTTTCATTGGGCTACCCTGTGGACCTTGAGTGGTTAAGCATGTGAGTTGTCGAATGTATATATAAAAGAAAAAACTGAGATGTCTATAATTACACAAAATGTAAAAAAAGTACTTTGAAACTAAAATAATAATAATAATAATAATAATAGAAAAGCAGAAATTTGAGTTTTAACAAGAGATGAGAGTTAACAATTTTGCCGTTCTGTTGTTTGAGCTTGAAGGGATAGTTCACGTTGAAATTAATTTTTGATACGTTTTATCTTACCTCAAGGGCATCCAAGATGTAGGTGTCTTTGTTTCCACAGTATTTTCAATTTTGACATTTTTCAGTCAAACCGTTGTTGTCCATCAGTCGTACACTGGAGGCTAAGGGGGTCCACCAAAGAGCAGCACAGAGAAGTCATGATTAAACATGATTTAATGACTCGTGAATGTAAGTACACATTGATGGCCTAAGACCCGAAACGAGCGGTTTGTGTGAGAAAACGAACAGTCTTTATATCGTTTTTACCTCGTGTAATCACAGTGACGTCCAAGTGACCCGAATCAGTCGTTCAATGTCCAACCGAACCGAACTGAATCAGTTCAATGTTACGCCGGAAGTGATCGCTTGCGTGTGACGTCGCTCAACGTTTACACGGAGATTTCGGAAGTTTTACCTTTTACTAAACATGTTTAGATATACCGAAATCGTCTTTCATTGCGGTTTCCCGTACATCTAAATATGTTTAGTGAAAGGTGAAACTTCCGAAATCTCTGTATAAACCAAGGGGGTAATCCATCGAGCGGAAGTTGAAGCCTCGCGGGAGCTGACATCTTGTAGCAGAACTTCACTTGCGTTAGCATTCCCATTGACTCCCATTCGTGTTGGCGTCACTTTGACAACGAATAACTTTACATCTGAGGCGTTTGAAGACCCCATTTGTCCTTTGTTTATTTCTAAAGAAACACGACAATGTATAAATAGCTCCATTACCTCGTAGCTTATGTTATGGCCCCGTAGATGCAGTCTTAGTGAAAGTAGGCTAACGATTGCGTCACACCCACGCGACTCTCTGTCGCACAGTAGAGAGATTACCGTATGTTACAGGAGGAGAAGCTCACGCGCAATCGGGGAAACGTGGAGGCAAAAAGACAAAATAATTAATTAGCAGCAAATACCCAGCAAAAGTTTCTCCTGCTCCTCGCTCATGGACAGCTCCTATTCACACTCTCCGCCTCTGCATGTATCGGAAGGGAATGATTCAGATCTCACATGCCACTGCACTAGAAGACAGACGGCTTGCGCAGACCGAAGCGCCCGTGCCGGCAGATCATTTTGTCATGGCTATGATTACAAGAGGTAAAAACGATATAAATCCTGTCCGTTTTCTCACACGAACCGCTCGTTTCGTGTCTTAGGCCATCAATGTGTACTTGCATGTACGAGTCATTAAATCATGTTTAATTTGGACTTCTGTGCTGCTCTTTGGTGGACCCCCTTAGCCTCCAGTGTATGACTGACGGACGAGAACGGTTTGACCGCAAAAATGTCAAAATTGAAGATGCTGTGGAAACAAAGACACCTACATCCTGGATCCCCTTGAGGTAAGATAAAACGTATCAAAAATTAATTTCAAAGTGAACTATCACCCAAAAATGGAAAACCATTCACCATTTCCTCACCCCCGTGTTGTTAAAAACCTGTATGAGTTTCTTTCTTCTGCTGAACTTAGACATTTTGAAAAATGTTGGTAATCAAACAGTTGGTGGTAGCCATTTACTTTCGATTGTCTGGTTACCAAAATTCTTTAAGATGTCATCTTTCGTGTTCAACAAAGAAAGAAACTCATACAGATTTGGAACAACTTGAGGGTGAGTAAATGATGACAGAATTGTAATTTTTGGATGATCTATCCCTTTTATTAATTTTATAATAATACAATTTTAATTTTATTGAACCCAGTCTCTTGGTGTTAAGCCTTATTTGTAGTTATTTTGTGACTGATTTTGAAAAGATCTTCTGTACTTGAAAAAGTAAAATTGTTGTTACCAGTCTTGTAGTAATTTGCTGATTATTGTAATAAATATTTGTTTTATTAAAATAAATGTTTATTTTAATGCATCTACATCAATGTAATGGTAAATAATTGAGTACAGTTTAGTTTACTGTTAAAATGATTCTTTTCAGCTTTTTAAATGTTAAACTATTACACAGCATCTACTTGAATTTTGGGGGTATTTACAGGATTTTATTGGCAACTTTATTGCCAGGTAAATACTGTACTTTAGTGAAATGACAAAATATTGCTGTAAAATAAAATACAGGTTTAATTCAATGTTACTGTAAAAAACCCTCTAAATTACTGTGTACCTATACATTTCATATACAACAATTAACTGTAAATTGCTTGACAGTATTACACTGTAATCAATTTTACAGCAATTTCCAACATTTTTACAGGATTTTATTGGCAACTTTTTTTGCCAGTAAATTCCTGTAAATTCTACAGGAAATTTTTTACAGTGAACGTTTCAACCTGTGAGGTGAATATATTTTATTATACTTTTAATTTTTTTATACTGACCTTGTCAGTTTTTACTATCAAATGGCGAAAATGTCAACTTATATTTGATTAGCACATCCCACGGGGATGGTACCAGTTTTGAACTAGTAGTAGTAAAAAATAACTGTTTGCATTTATACTTTCAGTAAAAAAAAAAAAAAACTAAGTTTTTAATAATGAGTAAATGTAACTTTAAAATACACGAACATTAAAAAAAAAAAAAAAAAAAAATAGATCCCACTTGAAATGTGTAATATGGAAATGTAAAAAGCTTGTTGGATTCAATCAAAATTACTCATTCAGAACTCTTAAAGTTATGTAGATCACACACATAAATAAATAAATTACTAGAGCGATGCTAAAATTAAGTTAACTTTATGTGAAAATTCTAGTTCAACAAACAGAAAAATTAAGTAGTTTCTACAAAGACTTGTCTTGTTGGATCTACGTAATAAAGTTATGCAAAAAATTCATTATGTTTTGTAAGTAAATCAGGCAGATTATTTTTATCAGTGTATGTTGGGTGAACGGTTTGTCAATATGACCAGTGTGCATTTATTACGGATAGATGTACCTGATGCACTGAAGACACGGCTTGCGACCCCACACTGTACAGTAACGTTTACTACGTTCCGTCTCTTTCAGACACGACGGACTGCCGTACATTTCATGGACACCCCAGATGGACCGGGACGTCCGTCAACGCCGCCGCCGCAGAAATGGAGGTTTTCTCGTCCGTTTTGCTCTACGCGGACGTTTTTGAATTTCCCTCTTTGGAAGATGACCGGGCCTGCGAGTCACGCTTCCCGCCGGTGGCCGCGGATACCGCGTCGGTGAAGCGCTTCGAACCGCTCCGAAGATACGTCCGCTTCAACGACGACTTCCAGACGGAGGGCTGCCCTGACCGCTTCCGTGAGACGCGCCCTCTTTTCGACCAAAGAACAACGCCCCCTCATTCCACCCACCAACAGGCAAAGTGTCGATGAAGTGCCGGTGGCTTACAAGGGCGGCACCAGAGCTGGCAAACTCGGGCAGTGCATTCAGAACGAGCCGGACAAGTGGGGGTTTGAGATCTTCCGTCGTGGCAGTGACTCTGGCGTCATCCACGACTTCGTATCGTACACAACATTCTTCGACATTCAAGAGGAAGAGCGTGCGCGTCCGGGCTCGAAAGACCTCCCCCTCGGCGCCGAGGTTGTCTCGATACTCCGCGACACTATCGCAGTACGCAAAGAGGCAACTGCGGTGTTCTACGACAACTTCTTTACCAGCTTCAACTCGGTGAAGACGCTGCGCACCAACCCGGGACTGAGAAGCGTGGGTACCGTCAGGGTAAATCGCGCAGGTGATGCGCTTTCGGTAAATACGTTAATCGCGTCGGTTGCACAATCACGACCAAATCGAACCGTGCGCGCGCGCGCACGCATTTTTCTTCCGATGCGGATAGACTGCACACGTGCCTTCCGTTCGTTACAGGTGTTATATTAGTGTTATCGTGAAAACAAATGTCCACGTCTTTCAGGTGGCGCGACGTTGACGAGCGATAAGGAGACGGCGAAGCGAGGCCGAGGTTTTGTCGATTTCCGTTCGCCGGAGGGAGTCGTCGCAGCGAAGCGGTTTTGCGCATGGCTCGTGTACGAAAGGGACCGCCGCAGCGTTCTCAAACAGAAACCGACGCCCTTGAAGAAGTCCCGTCTGTCGGTGGCGGCTACGTCGAAGGGAGCCGACGAGGTACCCGCCGGGGTCGGCCGACCCCCGGGTGCGAAGCGCAAGCCACGAGTCCGTCGCCCCAACCCCCGAGTTCTCCACCCCACCCAGGAAGTCCGACGCGACGGCGTCGGACACCGGCCTGCATTTGGCGCTCGGAGAGGGAGGTGCAACTTGCGCAAAAGTGGAGCGTCGCGTTGGCGACGTTCCAAACGTGGAGATGGGAAGCTGTTGTACAAAAACGAGCGCTTTGTTGCATGTCACCAGAGATGAGTTAAGAGTAAGGCAAGGATGAGACCTACGCACGATGAGATTGATTATTTATTTATTTATTCATTCATTCATTCATTTATTATATTTATAGTATATATTTTGAGTTATTTATTGATTACAGTTGTAATTATTTATTCGGTATTGTATTTGTGTGTTACGTTTCTTGATTTATATTGTTTACTGCTCACTTTACAATGTTTTTATTTTATGCGTTATAATAAGAACATGATTTTAAAATGAAAATGGATTATATTGTTAACATATTCTACTGTCTGTACTGTTTTTATATGAAAAAATATTCAACTTGTTCATTTAAATATCAGTCAATTGTGTGTGAGAGGGGGAAAGTTTGGATAAACGATAGGCCACCCCCGACAGCCCGGAGAGGGGCGCTGGTGCAAGAGCCGTGCACGTGGAGCGAGAGTGGCATGGTGCCACAAACCAGCGATTGGCCTAAAAGTGATTTGTTTTATGTTACGATGCATTTTTATTTTTGA